GGTTATGTAGACACACTTTGTACATAGTTATGTAGGCACACCTTGTAGATAGTTAGTTACACCATGTAGTAGTTATGTAGGTGTAGCGAGTCCTGTAGACACACCTTGTAGATAGTTATGTACACCTTGTAGATAGTTATGTAGGAACACCATGTAGATAGTTATGTAGGTACACCATGTAGATGTCACCATGTAGGCAGGCACACCATGTAGATAGTAATGTAGGCACACACTTGTAGATAGTTATACAGGCACACCTTGTAGATAGTTATGCAGGCACACCTTGTAGATAGTTATGTAGGCACACCTTGTAGATACATCCTTAGAAGTTATGTAGGCACACCATGTAGATAGTTATGAAGGCACACCAAGTAGATAGTTATGTAGGCACACCATGTAGATAGTTATGTAGGCACAACAAGTAGATAGTTATGTAGGTACACAACCTTGTAGATAGTTATGTAGGTTACACATCATGTAGATAGTTATGTAGGCACACCTTGTAGATAGTTATGTAGGCACAACATGTAGATAGTTATGTAGGCACACCTTGTAGATAGTTATGCAGGCACACCTTGAAGATAGTTATGTAGAGCACACCATGTAGATAGTTATGTAGGCACACCCTGTAGACAGTTATGCAGGCACACCATGTAGATAGTTATGAAGGCACAACATGTAGATAGTTATGTAGGCACACCATGTAGATAGTTATGTAGGCACAACAAGTAGATAGTTATGTAGGTACACCTTGTAGATAGTTATGTAGGTGCACCTTGTAAATGGTTATGTAGACACACTTTGTAGATAGTTATGTAGGCACACCCTGTAGAAAGTTATGCAGGCACACCATGTAGACAGTTATGCAGGCACACCTTGTAGATAGTTAGTTAGGCACAACAAGTAGATAGTTATGTAGGCACACCATGTAGATAGTTATGTAGGCATAACAAGTAGATAGTTATGCAGGTACACCTTGTAGATAGTTATGTAGGTGCACCTTGTAAATGGTTATGTAGACACACTTTGTACATAGTTATGTAGGCACACCTTGTAGATAGTTATGTAGGTACACCATGTAGCGAGTCCTGTAGACACACCTTGTAGATAGTTATGTAGGTACACCTTGTAGATAGTTATGCAGAGGCACACCATGCATATAGTTATGTAGGTACACCTTGTAGATAGTTATGTAGGAACACCATGTAGATAGTTATGTAGGTACACCATGTAGTGAGTCCTGTAGGCACACCATGTAGATAGTAATGTAGGCACAACATGCAGATAGTTATACAGGCACACCTTGTAGATAGTTATGCATGCACACCTTGCAGATAGTTATGCAAGCACACCATGTAGATAGTTATGTAGGCACATCCTGTAGAAAGTTATGCAGGCACACCATGTAGATAGATATGAAGGCACAACAAGTAGATAGTTATGTAGGCACACCATGTAGATAGTTATGTAGGCACAACAAGTAGATAGTTATGTAGGTACACCTTGTAGATAGTTATGTAGGTACACCATGTAGCGAGTCCTGTAGACACACCTTGTAGATAGTTATGTAGGCACAACATGCAGATAGTTATACAGGCACACCTTGTAGATAGTTATGCATGCACACCTTGAAGATAGTTATGCAAGCACACCATGTAGATAGTTATGTAGGCACATCCTGTAGAAAGTAGTGCAGGCACACCATGTAGATAGATATGAAGGCACAACAAGTAGATAGTTATGTAGGCACACCATGTAGATAGTTATGTAGGCACAACAAGTAGATAGTTATGTAGGCACACCTTGTAGATAGTTATGTAGGTACACCATGTAGCGAGTCCTGTAGACACACCTTGTAGATAGTTATGTAGGTACACCTTGTAGATAGTTATGCAGAGGCACACCATGCATATAGTTATGTAGGTACATCTTGTAGATAGTTATGTAGGAACACCATGTAGATAGTTATGTAGGTACACCATGTAGTGAGTCCTGTAGGCACACCATGTAGATAGTTATGTAGGCACAACATTCAGATAGTTATACAGGCACACCTTGTAGATAGTTATGCATGCACACCTTGCAGATAGTTATGCAAGCACACCATGTAGATAGTTATGTAGGCACATCCTGTAGAAAGTTATGCAGGCACACCATGTAGATAGATATGAAGGCACAACAAGTAGATAGTTATGTAGGCACACCATGTAGATAGTTATGTAGGCACACCATGTAGATAGTTATGTAGGTACACCTTGTAGATAGTTATGTAGGTACACCTTGTAGATAGTTATGCAGAGGCACACCATGCATATAATTATGTAGGCACACCACGTAGATAGTTATGTAGGTACACCTTGTAGATAGTTATGTAGGTACACCTTGTAGTCAGTTATGCAGAGGGACACCATGCATATAGTTATGTAGGTACACCTTGTAGATAGTTATGAAGGAACATCATGTAGATAGTTATGTAGGTACACCATGTAGCGAGTCCTGTTGGCACACCATGTAGATAGTTATGTAGGCACAACAAGTAGATAGTTATGTAGGCACATCATGTAGATAGTTATGTAGGCACACCATGTAGATAGTTATGTAGGAACATCATGTAGATAGTTATGTAGGTACACCATGTAGCGAGTCCTGTTGGCACATCATGTAGATAGTTATGTAGGCCCTACAAATAGATAGTTATGTAGGCACACCATGTAGATAGTTATGTAGGCACACCATGTAGATAGTTATTAAGGTACACCTTGTAGATAGTTATGTATGTACACCTTGTAGACAGTTATGCAGAGGCACACCATGCATATAGTTATGTAGGTACACCTTGTAGATAGTTATGTAGGAACACCATGTAGATAGTTATGTAGGTACACCATGTAGTGAGTCCTGTAGGCACACCATGTAGATAGTTATGTAGGCAGTTATGTAGGCACACCAGATAGTTATGCAGATAGTTATGTAGGCACACACAACAAGATAGTTATGTAGGCACAACAAGTAGATAGTTATGTAGGTACACCTTGTAGATAGTTATGTAGGTACACCTTGTAAATAGTTATGCAGAGGCACACCATGCATATAGTTATGTAGGTACACCTTGTAGATAGTTATGTAGGTACATCTTGTTGACAGTTATGTAGGCACACCATGTAGATAGTTATGTAGGTGTACCTTGTAGATAGTTATGTAGGTACACCTTGTAGACAGTTATGCAGAGGGACACCATGCATATAGTTATGTAGGTACACCTTGTAGATAGTTATGAAGGAACACCATGTAGATAGTAATGTAGGTACACCATGTAGCGAGTCCTGTTGGCACACCATGTAGATAGTTATGTAGGCACAACAAGTAGATAGTTATGTAGGCACACCATGTAGATAGTTATGTAGGCACATCATGTAGATAGTTATGTAGGCACACCATGTAGATAGTTATGTAGGCACACCATGTAGATAGTTATGTAGGTACACCATGTATCGAGAACTGTAGACACACCTTGTAGATAGTTATGTAGGCCCAACAAATAGATAGTTATGTAGGCACACCATGGAGATAGTTATGTAGGCACACCATGTAGATAGTTATTAAGGTACACCTTGTAGATAGTTATGTAGGTACACCTTGTAGACAGTTATGCAGAGGCACACCATGCATATAGTTATGTAGGTACACCTTGTAGATAGTTATGTAGGCACACCATGTAGAAAGTTATGCAGGCACACCATGTAGACAGTTATGCAGGCACACCTTGTAGATAGTTATGCAGGTACACCATGTAGATAGTTATGCAGGCACACCATGTAAATAGTTATGTAGGCACAACAAGTAGATAGTTATGTAGGTACACCTTGTAGATAGTTATGTAGGTACACCTTGTAGATAGTTATGGAGAGGCACACCATGCATATAGTTATGTAGGTACACCTTGTAGATAGTTATGTAGGTACATCTTGTAGACAGTTATGTAGGCACACCATGTAGATAGTTACGTAGGCACATCATGTAGATAGTTATGTAGGAACACCATGTAGATAGTTATGTAGGTACACCATGTAGCGAGTCCTGTAGACACACCATGTAGATAGTTATGTAGGCACACCATGTAGATAGTTATGTAGGCACACCATGTAGATAGTTATTAAGGTACACCTTGTAGATAGTTATGTATCTACACCTTGTAGACAGTTATGCAGAGGCACATCATGCATATAGTTATGTAGGTACACCTTGTAGATAGTTATGTAGGAACACCATGTAGATAGTTATGTAGGTACACCATGTAGTGAGTCCTGTACGCACACCATGTAAATAGTTATGTAGGCACAACATGCAGATAGTTATGCAGGCACACCTTGTAGATAGTAATGCCTGCACGCCTTGTAGATTGTTATGTAGGCACACCTTGTAGATAGTTATGCAGGCACACCATGTAGATAGTCATGTAGGCACCCCATGTAGATAGTTATGTAGACATACCTTAAAAATAGTTATATACTCACACCATGTAAATAGTTAGGAAGGCACACCGTACAGATAGTTATACAGGCACACCTACACTAACAACTAGTCTCTGAAATGAGCATATTTTACTGAAAAAAGTTCATATAAAAAAAAAGAAAATATAATGAAAAGGAGCCCTGAGCCTTTCTTCATTTTCAGTCTTGAGTGGGCTTTCTTGGATATATTTGCTTCAGGGTCTGTACGACAGACTAAGGCCCACCTTGTAGATTGTTCCGTAGACACGCCGTGTAGATAGTTCTGTAGACACTCCATGTTGATAGTTCTGTAGACACACCGTGTAGGAACACCATGCAGCCAGTCTTGAAGGGCAACACAGGAGTCCTGGAGGAAACGTGGGAAAAGGAGTCTTGTAATGTATACGTTTATCTGTATGCAAAGACACAACGAGTCCCAAAGGCACACGAGGATGCAAGTATCAACATACATGTAGGGACATCGGCCTAACCAAACTTTTTCTGTAACAGAGCGAGGTTTGATGGACCTCCTGTCTGGTGCCACCAATGGTACGGAACTGGGAACAGCTTTCAAAGTCATCAATGCTTTTGGCAAAGTCAGCCAGTTCATCGACGATCTGAAGAACCTGGCCCCAGATGCACACAAGGCCCTGAACAGCAGCATCAGTGATATCAAGGGCAGCATGAACAGCATCATCGGTGACATCACAAGCTCTCTCATGAGTGGTGGAGCTCAGAAAAGTAAATGATTTAGATTGTATGTTTTCCTAAACTGACCTGTTGACTTAATAATGCTTGTGAGATCACAGTAATATGAACTACTCAGTTAAGGAGCACACGTTGTTTGACGTCAGGAGGCAATTCTGTTTGAAGTGGCTGGTAACACACTTTTTGAAATGAGATGTCTTTTCACAAAAGTGAACAGAAGGTGATTTCTATTGCAGCCTTATTTGTATTTTGCTTTAATTCCCCATACACATGAAGATACTTGCTGTGTTTTATTCTAGAAGCAATCAATATAACGACCCAGAATAACGTCTGGTACCCTCACTGTCGTGGAACGTTTTAGTCAGTACAAATTGTCAGTACAGGGGCAGACAATGCTTATATTTCTTATATTCGGTGGACATCAGACAAAGAAACACACAGTGGAACCCCGAGATCCCTATGGTTTCTGTTTGAAACGTCTATGTATAGAAAAGGGACAGCTGTACTTTCAAAAGACACGTTAATATGAAAGATTACAATGTACAGTGTTGTCTTGATGTACTTGGCGATACTGTATACACTGGAAACCTATGTTTGTTTTGGACCAACCATATTTCGAACGAAACAAGTGAATAGATATGGAAAAGTACACCTATTCTCCATACAGGTCGCCGTGGTCTGATGGACCTCCTGTCTGGTGCCACCAATGGTACGGAACTGGGAACAGCTTTCAAAGTCATCAATGCTTTTGGCAAAGTCAGCCAGTTCATCGACGATCTGAAGAACCTGGCCCCAGATGCACACAAGGCCCTGAACAGCAGCATCAGTGATATCAAGGGCAGCATGAACAGCATCATCGGTGACATCACAAGCTCTCTCATGAGTGGTGGAGCTCAGAAAAGTAAATGATTTAGATTGTATGTTTTCCTAAACTGACCTGTTGACTTAATAATGCTTGTGAGATCACAGTAATATGAACTACTCAGTTAAGGAGCACACGTTGTTTGACGTCAGGAGGCAATTCTGTTTGAAGTGGTTGGTAACACACTTTTTGAATTGAGATATCTTTTCACAAAAGTGAACAGAAGGTGATTTCTATTGCGGCCTTATTTGTATTTTGCTTTAATTCCCCATACACATGAAGATACTTGCTGTGTTTTATTCTAGAAGCAATAAATATAACGACTCAGAATAACGTCTGGTACCCTCACTATCGTGGAACGTTTTAGACAGTACAAATTGTCAGTACAGGGGCCGACAATGCTTATTTTTATTATATTCGGTGGACATCAGACAAAGAAACACACAGTGGAACCCCGAGATCCCTATGGTTTCTGTTTGAAACGTCTATGTATAGAAAAGGGACAGCTGTACTTTCAAAAGACACGTTAATATGAAAGATTACAATGTACAGTGTTGTCTTGATGTACTTGGCGATACTGTATACACTGGAAACCTATGTTTGTTTTGGACCAACCATATTTCGAACGAAACAAGTGAATAGATATGGAAAAGTACACCTATTCTCCATACAGGTCGCCGTGGTCTGATGGACCTCCTGTCTGGTGCCACCAATGGTACGGAACTGGGAACAGCTTTCAAAGTCATCAATGCTTTTGGCAAAGTCAGCCAGTTCATCGACGATCTGAAGAACCTGGCCCCAGATGCACACAAGGCCCTGAACAGCAGCATCAGTGATATCAAGGGCAGCATGAACAGCATCATCGGTGACATCACAAGCTCTCTCTCATGAGTGGTGGAGCTCAGAAAAGTAAATGATTTAGATTGTATGTTTTCCTAAACTGACCTGTTGACTTAATAATGCTTGTGAGATCACAGTAATATGAACTACTCAGTTAAGGAGCACACGTTGTTTGACGTCAGGAGGCAATTCTGTTTGAAGTGGTTGGTAACACACTTTTTGAAATGAGATGTCTTTTCACAAAAGTGAACAGAAGGTGATTTCTATTGCAGCCTTATTTGTATTTTGCTTTAATTCCCCATACACATGAAGATACTTGCTGTGTTTTATTCTAGAAGCAATAAATATAACGACTCAGAATAACGTCTGGTACCCTCACTGTCGTGGAACGTTTTAGTCAGTACAAATTGTCAGTACAGGGGCCGACAATACTTATATTTCTTATATTCGGTGGACATCAGACAAAGAAACACACAGTGGAACCCCGAGATCCCTATGGTTTCTGTTTGAAACGTCTATGTATAGAAAAAGGGACAGCTGTACTTTCAAAAGACACGTTAATATGAAAGATTACAATGTACAGTGTTGTCTTGATGTACTTGGCGATACTGTATACACTGGAAACCTATGTTTGTTTTGGACCAACCATATTTCGAACGAAACAAGTGAATAGATATGGAAAAGTACACCTATTCTCCATACAGGTCGCCGTGGTCTGATGGACCTCCTGTCTGGTGCCACCAATGGTACGGAACTGGGGACAGCTTTCAAAGTCATCAATGCTTTTGGCAAAGTCAGCCAGTTCATCGACGATCTGAAGAACCTGGCCCCAGATGCACACAAGGCCCTGAACAGCAGCATCAGTGATATCAAGGGCAGCATGAACAGCATCATCGGTGACATCACAAGCTCTCTCATGAGTGGTGGAGCTCAGAAAAGTAAATGATTTAGATTGTATGTTTTCCTAAACTGACCTGTTGACTTAATAATGCTTGTGAGATCACAGTAATATGAACTACTCAGTTAAGGAGCACACGTTGTTTGACGTCAGGAGGCAATTCTGTTTGAAGTGGCTGGTAACACACTTTTGAAATGAGATGTCTTTTCACAAAAGTGAACAGAAGGTGATTTCTATTGCAGCCTTATTTGTATTTTGCTTTAATTCCCAAAACACATGAAGATACTTGCTGTGTTTTATTCTAGAAAGCAATAAATATAACGACTCAGAATAACGTCTGGTACCCTCACTGTCGTGGAACGTTTTAGTCAGTACAAATTGTCAGTACAGGGGCCGACAATACTTATATTTCTTATATTCGGTGGACATCAGACAAAGAAACACACAGTGGAACCCCGAGATCCCTATGGTTTCTGTTTGAAACGTCTATGTATAGAAAAAGGGACAGCTGTACTTTCAAAAGACACGTTAATATGAAAGATTACAATGTACAGTGTTGTCTTGATGTACTTGGCGATACTGTATACACTGGAAACCTATGTTTGTTTTGGACCAACCATATTTCGAACGAAACAAGTGAATAGATATGGAAAAGTACACCTATTCTCCATACAGGTCGCCGTGGTCTGATGGACCTCCTGTCTGGTGCCACCAATGGTACGGAACTGGGAACAGCTTTCAAAGTCATCAATGCTTTTGGCAAAGTCAGCCAGTTCATCGACGATCTGAAGAACCTGGCCCCAGATGCACACAAGGCCCTGAACAGCAGCATCAGTGATATCAAGGGCAGCATGAACAGCATCATCGGTGACATCACAAGCTCTCTCATGAGTGGTGGAGCTCAGAAAAGTAAATGATTTAGATTGTATGTTTTCCTAAACTGATCTGTTGACTTAATAATGCTTGTGAGATCACAGTAATATGAACTACTCAGTTAAGGAGCACACGTTGTTTGACGTCAGGAGGCAATTCTGTTTGAAGTGGTTGGTAACACACTTTTGAAATGAGATGTCTTTTCACAAAAGTGAACAGAAGGTGATTTCTATTGCAGCCTTATTTGTATTTTGCTTTAATTCCCCATACACATAAGGATACTTGCTGTGTTTTATTCTAGAAGCAATAAATATAACGACTCAGAATAACGTCTGGTACCCTCACTGTCGTGGAACGTTTTAGTCAGTACAAATTGTCAGTACAGGGGCAGACAATACTTATATTTCTTATATTCGGTGGACATCAGACAAAGAAACACACAGTGGAACCCCGAGATCCCTATGGTTTCTGTTTGAAACGTCTATGTATAGAAAAGGGACAGCTGTACTTTCAAAAGACACGTTAATATGAAAGATTACAATGTACAGTGTTGTCTTGATGTACTTGGCGATACTGTATACACTGGAAACCTATGTTTGTTTTGGACCAACCATATTTCGAACGAAACAAGTGAATAGCTATGGAAAAGTACACCTATTCTCCATACAGGTCGCCGTGGTCTGATGGACCTCCTGTCTGGTGCCACCAATGGTACGGAACTGGGAACAGCTTTCAAAGTCATCAATGCTTTTGGCAAAGTCAGCCAGTTCATTGACGATCTGAAGAACCTGGCCCCAGATGCACACAAGGCCCTGAACAGCAGCATCAGTGATATCAAGGGCAGCATGAACAGCATCATCGGTGACATCACAAGCTCTCTCATGAGTGGTGGAGCTCAGAAAAGTAAATGATTTAGATTGTATGTTTTCCTAAACTGATCCTGTTGACTTAATAATGCTTGTGAGATCACAGTAATATGAACTACTCAGTTAAGGAGCACACGTTGTTTGACGTCAGGAGGCAATTCTGTTTGAAGTGGTTGGTAACACACTTTTGAAATGAGATGTCTTTTCACAAAAGTGAACAGAAGGTGATTTCTATTGCAGCCTTATTTGTATTTTGCTTTAATTCCCCATACACATAAGGATACTTGCTGTGTTTTATTCTAGAAGCAATAAATATAACGACTCAGAATAACGTCTGGTACCCTCACTGTCGTGGAACGTTTTAGTCAGTACAAATTGTCAGTACAGGGGCAGACAATACTTATATTTCTTATATTCGGTGGACATCAGACAAAGAAACACACAGTGGAACCCCGAGATCCCTATGGTTTCTGTTTGAAACGTCTATGTATAGAAAAGGGACAGCTGTACTTTCAAAAGACACGTTAATATGAAAGATTACAATGTACAGTGTTGTCTTGATGTACTTGGCGATACTGTATACACTGGAAACCTATGTTTGTTTTGGACCAACCATATTTCGAACGAAACAAGTGAATAGCTATGGAAAAGTACACCTATTCTCCATACAGGTCGCCGTGGTCTGATGGACCTCCTGTCTGGTGCCACCAATGGTACGGAACTGGGAACAGCTTTCAAAGTCATCAATGCTTTTGGCAAAGTCAGCCAGTTCATCGACGATCTGAAGAACCTGGCCCCAGATGCACACAAGGCCCTGAACAGCAGCATCAGTGATATCAAGGGCAGCATGAACAGCATCATCGGTGACATCACAAGCTCTCATGAGTGGTGGAGCTCAGAAAAGTAAATGATTTAGATTGTATGTTTTCCTAAACTGACCTGTTGACTTAATAATGCTTGTGAGATCACAGTAATATGAACTACTCAGTTAAGGAGCACACGTTGTTTGACGTCAGGAGGCAATTCTGTTTGAAGTGGCTGGTAACACACTTTTTGAAATGAGATGTCTTTTCACAAAAGTGAACAGAAGGTGATTTCTATTGCAGCCTTATTTGTATTTTGCTTTAATTCCCCATACACATGAAGATACTTGCTGTGTTTTATTCTAGAAGCAATAAATATAACGACTCAGAATAACGTCTGGTACCCTCACTGTCGTGGAACGTTTTAGTCAGTACAAATTGTCAGTACAGGGGCAGACAATGCTTATATTTCTTATATTCGGTGGACATCAGACAAAGAAACACACAGTGGAACCCCGAGATCCCTATGGTTTCTGTTTGAAACGTCTATGTATAGAAAAAGGGACAGCTGTACTTTCAAAAGACACGTTAATATGAAAGATTACAATGTACAGTGTTGTCTTGATGTACTTGGCGATACTGTATACACTGGAAACCTATGTTTGTTTTGGACCAACCATATTTCGAACGAAACAAGTGAATAGCTATGGAAAAGTACACCTATTCTCCATACAGGTCGCCGTGGTCTGATGGACCTCCTGTCTGGTGCCACCAATGGTACGGAACTGGGAACAGCTTTCAAAGTCATCAATGCTTTTGGCAAAGTCAGCCAGTTCATCGACGATCTGAAGAACCTGGCCCCAGATGCACACAAGGCCCTGAACAGCAGCATCAGTGATATCAAGGGCAGCATGAACAGCATCATCGGTGACATCACAAGCTCTCTCATGAGTGGTGGAGCTCAGAAAAGTAAATGATTTAGATTGTATGTTTTCCTAAACTGACCTGTTGACTTAATAATGCTTGTGAGATCACAGTAATATGAACTACTCAGTTAAGGAGCACACGTTGTTTGACGTCAGGAGGCAATTCTGTTTGAAGTGGTTGGTAACACACTTTTTGAAATGAGATGTCTTTTCACAAAAGTGAACAGAAGGTGATTTCTATTGCAGCCTTATTTGTATTTTGCTTTAATTCCCCATACACATAAGGATACTTGCTGTGTTTTATTCTAGAAGCAATAAATATAACGACTCAGAATAACGTCTGGTACCCTCACTGTCGTGGAACGTTTTAGTCAGTACAAATTGTCAGTACAGGGGCAGACAATGCTTATATTTCTTATATTCGGTGGACATCAGACAAAGAAACACACAGTGGAACCCCGAGATCCCTATGGTTTCTGTTTGAAACGTCTATGTATAGAAAAAGGGACAGCTGTACTTTCAAAAGACACGTTAATATGAAAGATTACAATGTACAGTGTTGTCTTGATGTACTTGGCGATACTGTATACACTGGAAACCTATGTTTGTTTTGGACCAACCATATTTCGAACGAAACAAGTGAATAGCTATGGAAAAGTACACCTATTCTCCATACAGGTCGCCGTGGTCTGATGGACCTCCTGTCTGGTGCCACCAATGGTACGGAACTGGGAACAGCTTTCAAAGTCATCAATGCTTTTGGCAAAGTCAGCCAGTTCATCGACGATCTGAAGAACCTGGCCCCAGATGCACACAAGGCCCTGAACAGCAGCATCAGTGATATCAAGGGCAGCATGAACAGCATCATCGGTGACATCACAAGCTCTCTCATGAGTGGTGGAGCTCAGAAAAGTAAATGATTTAGATTGTATGTTTTCCTAAACTGACCTGTTGACTTAATAATGCTTGTGAGATCACAGTAATATGAACTACTCAGTTAAGGAGCACACGTTGTTTGACGTCAGGAGGCAATTCTGTTTGAAGTGGCTGGTAACACACTTTTTGAAATGAGATGTCTTTTCACAAAAGTGAACAGAAGGTGATTTCTATTGCAGCCTTATTTGTATTTTGCTTTAATTCCCCATACACATGAAGATACTTGCTGTGTTTTATTCTAGAAGCAATAAATATAACGACTCAGAATAACGTCTGGTACCCTCACTGTCGTGGAACGTTTTAGTCAGTACAAATTGTCAGTACAGGGGCAGACAATACTTATATTTCTTATATTCGGTGGACATCAGACAAAGAAACACACAGTGGAACCCCGAGATCCCTATGGTTTCTGTTTGAAACGTCTATGTATAGAAAAGGGACAGCTGTACTTTCAAAAGACACGTTAATATGAAAGATTACAATGTACAGTGTTGTCTTGATGTACTTGGCGATACTGTATACACTGGAAACCTATGTTTGTTTTGGACCAACCATATTTCGAACGAAACAAGTGAATAGCTATGGAAAAGTACACCTATTCTCCATACAGGTCGCCGTGGTCTGATGGACCTCCTGTCTGGTGCCACCAATGGTACGGAACTGGGAACAGCTTTCAAAGTCATCAATGCTTTTGGCAAAGTCAGCCAGTTCATCGACGATCTGAAGAACCTGGCCCCAGATGCACACAAGGCCCTGAACAGCAGCATCAGTGATATCAAGGGCAGCATGAACAGCATCATCGGTGACATCACAAGCTCTCTCATGAGTGGTGGAGCTCAGAAAAGTAAATGATTTAGATTGTATGTTTTCCTAAACTGACCTGTTGACTTAATAATGCTTGTGAGATCACAGTAATATGAACTACTCAGTTAAGGAGCACACGTTGTTTGACGTCAGGAGGCAATTCTGTTTGAAGTGGCTGGTAACACACTTTTTGAAATGAGATGTCTTTTCACAAAAGTGAACAGAAGGTGATTTCTATTGCAGCCTTATTTGTATTTTGCTTTAATTCCCCATACACATGAAGATACTTGCTGTGTTTTATTCTAGAAGCAATAAATATAACGACTCAGAATAACGTCTGGTACCCTCACTGTCGTGGAACGTTTTAGTCAGTACAAATTGTCAGTACAGGGGCAGACAATGCTTATATTTCTTATATTCGGTGGACATCAGACAAAGAAACACACAGTGGAACCCCGAGATCCCTATGGTTTCTGTTTGAAACGTCTATGTATAGAAAAGGGACAGCTGTACTTTCAAAAGACACGTTAATATGAAAGATTACAATGTACAGTGTTGTCTTGATGTACTTGGCGATACTGTATACACTGGAAACCTATGTTTGTTTTGGACCAACCATATTTCGAACGAAACAAGTGAATAGCTATGGAAAAGTACACCTATTCTCCATACAGGTCGCCGTGGTCTGATGGACCTCCTGTCTGGTGCCACCAATGGTACGGAACTGGGAACAGCTTTCAAAGTCATCAATGCTTTTGGCAAAGTCAGCCAGTTCATCGACGATCTGAAGAACCTGGCCCCAGATGCACACAAGGCCCTGAACAGCAGCATCAGTGATATCAAGGGCAGCATGAACAGCATCATCGGTGACATCACAAGCTCTCTCATGAGTGGTGGAGCTCAGAAAAGTAAATGATTTAGATTGTATGTTTTCCTAAACTGACCTGTTGACTTAATAATGCTTGTGAGATCACAGTAATATGAACTACTCAGTTAAGGAGCACACGTTGTTTGACGTCAGGAGGCAATTCTGTTTGAAGTGGCTGGTAACACACTTTTTGAAATGAGATGTCTTTTCACAAAAGTGAACAGAAGGTGATTTCTATTGCAGCCTTATTTGTATTTTGCTTTAATTCCCCATACACATGAAGATACTTGCTGTGTTTTATTCTAGAAGCAATAAATATAACGACTCAGAATAACGTCTGGTACCCTCACTGTCGTGGAACGTTTTAGTCAGTACAAATTGTCAGTACAGGGCAGACAATGCTTATATTTCTTATATTCGGTGGACATCAGACAAAGAAACACACAGTGGAACCCCGAGATCCCTATGGTTTCTGTTTGAAACGTCTATGTATAGAAAAAGGGACAGCTGTACTTTCAAAAGACACGTTAATATGAAAGATTACAATGTACAGTGTTGTCTTGATGTACTTGGCGATACTGTATACACTGGAAACCTATGTTTGTTTTGGACCAACCATATTTCGAACGAAACAAGTGAATAGCTATGGAAAAGTACACCTATTCTCCATACAGGTCGCCGTGGTCTGATGGACCTCCTGTCTGGTGCCACCAATGGTACGGAACTGGGAACAGCTTTCAAAGTCATCAATGCTTTTGGCAAAGTCAGCCAGTTCATCGACGATCTGAAGAACCTGGCCCCAGATGCACACAAGGCCCTGAACAGCAGCATCAGTGATATCAAGGGCAGCATGAACAGCATCATCGGTGACATCACAAGCTCTCTCATGAGTGGTGGAGCTCAGAAAAGTAAATGATTTAGATTGTATGTTTTCCTAAACTGACCTGTTGACTTAATAATGCTTGTGAGATCACAGTAATATGAACTACTCAGTTAAGGAGCACACGTTGTTTGACGTCAGGAGGCAATTCTGTTTGAAGTGGCTGGTAACACACTTTTTGAAATGAGATGTCTTTTCACAAAAGTGAACAGAAGGTGATTTCTATTGCAGCCTTATTTGTATTTTGCTTTAATTCCCCATACACATGAAGATACTTGCTGTGTTTTATTCTAGAAGCAATAAATATAACGACTCAGAATAACGTCTGGTACCCTCACTGTCGTGGAACGTTTTAGTCAGTACAAATTGTCAGTACAGGGGCAGACAATGCTTATATTTCTTATATTCGGTGGACATCAGACAAAGAAACACACAGTGGAACCCCGAGATCCCTATGGTTTCTGTTTGAAACGTCTATGTATAGAAAAGGGACAGCTGTACTTTCAAAAGACACGTTAATATGAAAGATTACAATGTACAGTGTTGTCTTGATGTACTTGGCGATACTGTATACACTGGAAACCTATGTTTGTTTTGGACCAACCATATTTCGAACGAAACAAGTGAATAGATATGGAAAAGTACACCTATTCTCCATACAGGTCGCCGTGGTCTGATGGACCTCCTGTCTGGTGCCACCAATGGTACGGAACTGGGAACAGCTTTCAAAGTCATCAATGCTTTTGGCAAAGTCAGCCAGTTCATCGACGATCTGAAGAACCTGGCCCCAGATGCACACAAGGCCCTGAACAGCAGCATCAGTGATATCAAGGGCAGCATGAACAGCATCATCGGTGACATCACAAGCTCTCTCATGAGTGGTGGAGCTCAGAAAAGTAAATGATTTAGATTGTATGTTTTCCTAAACTGACCTGTTGACTTAATAATGCTTGTGAGATCACAGTAATATGAACTACTCAGTTAAGGAGCACACGTTGTTTGACGTCAGGAGGCAATTCTGTTTGAAGTGGCTGGTAACACACTTTTTGAAATGAGATGTCTTTTCACAAAAGTGAACAGAAGGTGATTTCTATTGCAGCCTTATTTGTATTTTGCTTTAATTCCCCATACACATGAAGATACTTGCTGTGTTTTATTCTAGAAGCAATAAATATAACGACTCAGAATAACGTCTGGTACCCTCACTGTCGTGGAACGTTTTAGTCAGTACAAATTGTCAGTACAGGGGCAGACAATGCTTATATTTCTTATATTCGGTGGACATCAGACAAAGAAACACACAGTGGAACCCCGAGATCCCTATGGTTTCTGTTTGAAACGTCTATGTATAGAAAAGGGACAGCTGTACTTTCAAAAGACACGTTAATATGAAAGATTACAATGTACAGTGTTGTCTTGATGTACTTGGCGATACTGTATACACTGGAAACCTATGTTTGTTTTGGACCAACCATATTTCGAACGAAACAAGTGAATAGCTATGGAAAAGTACACCTATTCTCCATACAGGTCGCCGTGGTCTGATGGACCTCCTGTCTGGTGCCACCAATGGTACGGAACTGGGAACAGCTTTCAAAGTCATCAATGCTTTTGGCAAAGTCAGCCAGTTCATCGACGATCTGAAGAACCTGGCCCCAGATGCACACAAGGCCCTGAACAGCAGCATCAGTGATATCAAGGGCAGCATGAACAGCATCATCGGTGACATCACAAGCTCTCATGAGTGGTGGTGGAGCTCAGAAAAGTAAATGATTTAGATTGTATGTTTTCCTAAACTGACCTGTTGACTTAATAATGCTTGTGAGATCACAGTAATATGAACTACTCAGTTAAGGAGCACACGTTGTTTGACGTCAGGAGGCAATTCTGTTTGAAGTGGCTGGTAACACACTTTTTGAAATGAGATGTCTTTTCACAAAAGTGAACAGAAGGTGATTTCTATTGCAGCCTTATTTGTATTTTGCTTTAATTCCCCATACACATGAAGATACTTGCTGTGTTTTATTCTAGAAGCAATAAATATAACGACTCAGAATAACGTCTGGTACCCTCACTGTCGTGGAACGTTTTAGTCAGTACAAATTGTCAGTACAGGGGCAGACAATGCTTATATTTCTTATATTCGGTGGACATCAGACAAAGAAACACACAGTGGAACCCCGAGATCCCTATGGTTTCTGTTTGAAACGTCTATGTATAGAAAAGGGACAGCTGTACTTTCAAAAGACACGTTAATATGAAAGATTACAATGTACAGTGTTGTCTTGATGTACTTGGCGATACTGTATACACTGGAAACCTATGTTTGTTTTGGACCAACCATATTTCGAACGAAACAAGTGAATAGATATGGAAAAGTAAACCTATTCTCCATACAGGTCGCCGTGGTCTGATGGACCTCCTGTCTGGTGCCACCAATGGTACGGAACTGGGAACAGCTTTCAAAGTCATCAATGCTTTTGGCAAAGTCAGCCAGTTCATCGACGATCTGAAGAACCTGGCCCCAGATGCACACAAGGCCCTGAACAGCAGCATCAGTGATATCAAGGGCAGCATGAACAGCATCATCGGTGACATCACAAGCTCTCTCATGAGTGGTGGAGCTCAGAAAAGTAAATGATTTAGATTGTATGTTTTCCTAAACTGACCTGTTGACTTAATAATGCTTGTGAGATCACAGTAATATGAACTACTCAGTTAAGGAGCACACGTTGTTTGACGTCAGGAGGCAATTCTGTTTGAAGTGGCTGGTAACACACTTTTTGAAATGAGATGTCTTTTCACAAAAGTGAACAGAAGGTGATTTCTATTGCAGCCTTATTTGTATTTTGCTTTAATTCCCCATACACATGAAGATACTTGCTGTGTTTTATTCTAGAAGCAATAAATATAACGACTCAGAATAACGTCTGGTACCCTCACTGTCGTGGAACGTTTTAGTCAGTACAAATTGTCAGTACAGGGGCAGACAATGCTTATATTTCTTATATTCGGTGGACATCAGACAAAGAAACACACAGTGGAACCCCGAGATCCCTATGGTTTCTGTTTGAAACGTCTATGTATAGAAAAGGGACAGCTGTACTTTCAAAAGACACGTTAATATGAAAGATTACAATGTACAGTGTTGTCTTGATGTACTTGGCGATACTGTATACACTGGAAACCTATGTTTGTTTTGGACCAACCATATTTCGAACGAAACAAGTGAATAGCTATGGAAAAGTACACCTATTCTCCATACAGGTCGCCGTGGTCTGATGGACCTCCTGTCTGGTGCCACCAATGGTACGGAACTGGGAACAGCTTTCAAAGTCATCAATGCTTTTGGCAAAGTCAGCCAGTTCATCGACGATCTGAAGAACCTGGCCCCAGATGCACACAAGGCCCTGAACAGCAGCATCAGTGATATCAAGGGCAGCATGAACAGCATCATCGGTGACATCACAAGCTCTCTCATGAGTGGTGGAGCTCAGAAAAGTAAATGATTTAGATTGTATGTTTTCCTAAACTGACCTGTTGACTTAATAATGCTTGTGAGATCACAGTAATATGAACTACTCAGTTAAGGAGCACACGTTGTTTGACGTCAGGAGGCAATTCTGTTTGAAGTGGCTGGTAACACACTTTTTGAAATGAGATGTCTTTTCACAAAAGTGAACAGAAGGTGATTTCTATTGCAGCCTTATTTGTATTTTGCTTTAATTCCCCATACACATGAAGATACTTGCTGTGTTTTATTCTAGAAGCAATAAATATAACGACTCAGAATAACGTCTGGTACCCTCACTGTCGTGGAACGTTTTAGTCAGTACAAATTGTCAGTACAGGGGCAGACAATGCTTATATTTCTTATATTCGGTGGACATCAGACAAAGAAACACACAGTGGAACCCCGAGATCCCTATGGTTTCTGTTTGAAACGTCTATGTATAGAAAAAGGGACAGCTGTACTTTCAAAAGACACGTTAATATGAAAGATTACAATGTACAGTGTTGTCTTGATGTACTTGGCGATACTGTATACACTGGAAACCTATGTTTGTTTTGGACCAACCATATTTCGAACGAAACAAGTGAATAGATATGGAAAGGTACACCTATTCTCCATACAGGTCGCCGTGGTCTGATGGACCTCCTGTCTGGTGCCACCAATGGTACGGAACTGGGAACAGCTTTCAAAGTCATCAATGCTTTTGGCAAAGTCAGCCAGTTCATCGACGATCTGAAGAACCTGGCCCCAGATGCACACAAGGCCCTGAACAGCAGCATCAGTGATATCAAGGGCAGCATGAACAGCATCATCGGTGACATCACAAGCTCTCTCATGAGTGGTGGAGCTCAGAAAAGTAAATGATTTAGATTGTATGTTTTCCTAAACTGACCTGTTGACTTAATAATGCTTGTGAGATCACAGTAATATGAACTACTCAGTTAAGGAACACACGTTGTTTGACGTCAGGAAGCAATTCTGTTTGAAGTGGTTGGTAACACACTTTTTGAAATGAGATGTCTTTTCACAAAAGTGAACAGAAGGTGATTTCTATTGCAGCCTTATTTGTATTTTGCTTTAATTCCCCATACACATGAAGATACTTGCTGTGTTTTATTCTAGAAGCAATAAATATAACGACTCAGAATAACGTCTGGTACCCTCACTGTCGTGGAACGTTTTAGTCAGTACAAATTGTCAGTACAGGGGCAGACAATGCTTATATTTCTTATATTCGGTGGACATCAGACAAAGAAACACACAGTGGAACCCCGAGATCCCTATGGTTTCTGTTTGAAACGTCTATGTATAGAAAAAGGACAGCTGTACTTTCAAAAGACACGTTAATATGAAAGATTACAATGTACAGTGTTGTCTTGATGTACTTGGCGATACTGTATACACTGGAAACCTATGTTTGTTTTGGACCAACCATATTTCGAACGAAACAAGTGAATAGCTATGGAAAAGTACACCTATTCTCCATACAGGTCGCCGTGGTCTGATGGACCTCCTGTCTGGTGCCACCAATGGTACGGAACTGGGAACAGCTTTCAAAGTCATCAATGCTTTTGGCAAAGTCAGCCAGTTCATCGACGATCTGAAGAACCTGGCCCCAGATGCACACAAGGCCCTGAACAGCAGCATCAGTGATATCAAGGGCAGCATGAACAGCATCATCGGTGACATCACAAGCTCTCTTATGAGTGGTGGAGCTCAGAAAAGTAAATGATTTAGATTGTATGTTTTCTCAAACTGACCGTTTTTTTTTTATTAATTCACAGTATTTGTAATGCACCATTTATGGGAAAGTGATTTGTTTATTTGTTTATTTATGAAATAAATAGAGTTAGGTATACTTTTCTGCGTGTTTGATTTCAGAAACAAGTATGGTCTTAGTATGTTACCATATACTTTAATGTATGATATATATTTATATTTATGGCGCAAGCTGAGCTGTCGACTGCGTGTTACGTTGTTGAATGTAATTGCTGTAGATTTCTGTTGGGCTTTACAATTAGCATGGTTTTGTACTTGCAGGTAAGGGGTATACATGCCTTCAATCTCAAAAGACGCAAATAGGTGTTTTATTGTCACTCGGTGTGTGAATAGCAAACTGTTTGGAGTATAGATAATCACCATGGAAACAGATGACAAATCTGTCGACTCAACAGTACGTGATACCGTCGTTAAGACAGTGTCCACCCTCACGGCCTGTTATGGTGTGGAAACCATCCGCGGCATGTCTGTCCTAACGAACTAGAGAGTACGTGTTCAATACAGAAGCATTATAGAACCATAGACGCACAAATAAACTCCGAACCGTTCAATCCTGACGCTACATTATGTGACGTAACCCGGTCTGGTAAAGACTGGTACACACCCTCCTTAGTTGTTAAATTGTTTTCTGTATGGTCTGTACATGTTTTCAGAGGGTTCATACAGGCCCCAGCTATCGTTCAATATACATGCAACACAGGTTATCCTCCGATCCCCGTGTAAAACTATATACAGACATACCCAGTTCACACCAGTAGAAACTGTAATGTTATATATTGTCATTATTACCCATGCGTAGAAAAGACTGGTGGTAAGATCCGTACTTAATACGTATGTCACACGTGTGGCGAACAAGGTTCAAGGCCATTCTGCATTAAGTGCTTCCAACCTATGTCTCTATTTATCGAGAGAATCGTTGTACATCATTATCAGAGACCACAGCAACAGTTGCTAATGATGATTGAGCGTCAAAGGCGCCAACGACTGAGGAATTATGCAGATGCAGGCTTGCTCGAAACTCGGTCAGCACAACGTCACGTTGCAAATGTATTTGGCAAAAGCTAAAAGATCAGCAGGACATGGAATCGTAACCAGATGGTGGGATCAGCTAGCACGATGGTGGTGGTGCCCAACAGCATACCACTACAAAGAGTGAAGGTTTCTCCTGACTGTAGCAGACCTTTTCATTTTGTGACCGATACTACATTCAGAAATTACCCGAGGAACCCTATTTAACGTTTCTACTTAGTACCTAATCAGCCCTATGAGGCTGGACTCATTGAAGGCATGAATGCCCACCGCACAGCCCCGGACGTTATGGGACGTCATGAGACGTCACGTCACGTCGTTATGAGATCAGTCCAACTTGGTAGGCCAGGACTGGGCTCTAGTACTTATACACTGAGGGGCAAAAGAAACGATACCAAACTTTAATGGGGGGACAAATTGGATTTGAACTCAGACTTTTTTAGGTGGTTTGGAACAGAAAACCTTCGCACGAACGCAACTGAAACGGACCTGCGCCAAAATACATGCATTTGGAAATGGAAAGTCATGAAAAATGCATTTGACTGGCAATTTTTCATGCACGTGCAAAATGACGTGCATGGGTCGTATTGAGTATAAAAGCACATGGAAATGTTCGCCAGTATCAGATTGCAACGTTAACATCATCGACCATGCCAAGATTAACAGCAGAGCAAAGAGAACGGGCACTTGGTATGATCCAGCTTGGTGCGACCCACGACCATGTTGCCCGAATCTTCAACTGTATCCGTTTGACGATCACCAGGCTTATGGCACGTTACAGGCAAACAGGCAGAACGTCGGACAGACCCAGGAGTGGTAGGCCGCCCGTCACGACCGCCGCTGAAGACCGCTACCTACGTGTGTTACACTTACGTAACAGGTTCCTCACGGTGACGTCATCGGCAGAGACAGCGCTCGGCCATCGTGTCAGCAGACGAACGGTGTCTAGGAGGCTACGTTTGCACGACCTTCGCGCCTACCGACCCTTCCGTGGCATAGCACTGAGCCGTCAACATCGACGTGAACGTCTGAGATGGGCACGCAAAGTTGCAGGCTGGCAGAACAGGCAATGGGCTCGAGTACTCTTTACAGATGAGAGCAGGTTCCACCTTAACAGACCAGACGGCAGGATACGGGTACATCGACGCAGAGGTGAACGTACTGCACGTTGCTGCGTACAAGAAGTGGAGCCCTACGGCGGTGACAGCGTCATGGTTTGGGGAGGCATAATTGGAGACAGAAAGACAGACTTGGTGATCGTAGACGGTAACTTGAATGGTCAAAGGTACATCGACCAGGTTCTCCGACCAGTCGTCTTGCCATTCCTGCAGCAGAACCCCCGAACTGTCTTCCAACACGACAATGCTCCATGCCATACAGCACAGCGCGTTAGGGGTTTCCTTAACGCTAACAACGTTCACGTCTTACCATGGCCAGCACGTTCCCCTGACCTCTCCCCCATTGAGCACCTTTGGGACCATCTTGGGAGGCAAATTCGCGCCAGACCACATCCGCCTGCCAACAGGAGAGCTCTTGCCAGAGCACTGCAAGACGAGTGGAACAGGATCCAACGTCCGGTGATCAGACGTCTGACGTCATCTGCCCGACGTCGAGTTCGAGCCTGTATCGATGCTGGAGGAGCACACACTCGATACTGACTCTAACTTGTGGTAAAATGTGCTCAAATGACTGTTTCAGTGGGACTGTGTAAACTTGTACGTGATCGAATACTGGACAATCGACCCCACCCTCTTTAATTGTTGAATATCTGTACCTTCTTTGGTTATGACTGTATGAATTTACGATATGTTGTAGTTGTTTGATTGTTCTGAAAATATAAATTGTCACCTTATGCTTATGACGTCTTGTTTTTTCTCACGTTGTGAAATTTACTTGGTATCGTTTCTTTTGCCCCTCAGTGTATTACTGAATCGTGATACTGTCTAGTCTGCACACATCATCGTGCTCGAGTATGGCGTAAACAAGAATTTTAGATTTTGGACGGGATCAATAGAGCACAAAGAACCTATTTCCACGTCTTGCAGCCCGGCAGAATGATCGGTGCTTACTATGGGGATGGCATTCTGGATATGAACGTGATCATGGTCTTGGAAGTGGACGGCACTTGACAACAGACAGTTGTTAATTAAATATGTCTTCATTTCTTTTGGCTAGAAGA